GTTTTTGAAACCATTTTTGGTCAATAATACAGTATACATTATTTACATTATAAATGTTTTTTCAGTCACTTGAGTAAGTTCACCTGTCTGAGTAAAAGCATTGCACACATTTAAAATCAGTGGAATAGTTGATCCAGATATAAAAATTCTGTAATTATTTCTAAGCTTCATTTTATTTTTTTTATTTCCCGTTCATTCATCCATGTGACACAAAGAGATTAGGGCAATAATGACAGAATGTATGCTGTATGTGTGTTTTATTGATCATTTTGACTATTTTAGCTGTTTTTACGTTTTGTTGATTATGAGTGATGCACTGATCGGATGGCACTTTAATTTCGTTGTACATGTTACAATGACAATAAAGATTTGAATTGAATTGAAAAGGAGAAATTCTGTGTTCTTCAAAGTATAAGTTTTCCCAGAGTTTTCAACTGGGGGTCTGTACGATACTGCTCCATTACGATACTACCAAGGGTAATATTAAAAGAAAATATAAAAATATTCTATATTTAAAAATGTAATTCTAAATGTGTTAAATTTGTTCTATAGCCTTATTCAAAATTTATAGTAAAAAAAATGCCTGATAGAGTGTCTGCACTCTATCAGGCATGACAAATATTTTTTTGTAATCAGGCTTCCTAAACACAGACAGTCCTGTACCTGACAAGCTGACTGCAATTCTGTTTGACACTGCTAGTAGTTCTGAAATGACACACTGCAACTTTAAGTAAATTGACAATCTGACAATGCAATGCATTCTTGCCAAATGTTTTATTAACATTATAAATGGGTGTTTTGCAGGTGGCAGGGTTATGAGGGGTTTATCCCGGTGCACAGACTGAGCACCAATGGCTGCAGAGATTGGGAATATTTTAACACAACCGATGGCTCCTACCTCATCTACTCCAGTGCCAGAGCTGCTCTCTCCAAAGTCCTTAAATTAAGGACCATCTAGTGGCACTGGACATATGGACTGTATCTGCTGGGAGACTAGCTGCCAGAAACAGCAACTCAAAGCATGAACACAAGTGAACCCCTAAATCAGATTTTCTTCAATGCAAATGTTATCCAAAACTTAGTTCAATGTATCACATGATGACACTTTAACACATGCACTTAATGACATACCTTGAAACCAGCTAAAGGACGAATCTCATCACTAACATTCAAAACAGTCCACTGACCGCCTGAACAACAACAGCACAATCACACAATCACAAATTTCAGAAGACTTATACCTGCACTTATTTGCACACAGATCATCAATATGCTTTGTTGATTCAAATGTCATTATGTGCTGTGGTTATACATCATTACTCTGCACATGAAGACAGTTGACAATTTATGGATGAATGGAAAAATAATTTTGCTCAGCCAGCAAAGACACTGCATTTAACTGTACTGTACTGTCTGTAAGCTAATGATTTACATATTTTTATTAGAAGGCCTTTAAATTGAAGTGTTCAAGTATATGCAATAAAAATAATTAAGACATTATTTATAATAGATAAATAATAATAAAAAATGACAATGAGGATTTCAATAATACACGGACTATTTTCTTTTTATATTGTAACTATGACTTATTTTAGAACTTGATTGTGTTTCTGTTTTGATTCTCTGTGTCATAATTATCAGTGGGCTGTGCTGCATTATATTGCAATATAAGTCATACTGAGTAAATTAAACACTTTTCATTTTTATTTTAGTAAGTTTATTAGCCTTTTGGGTTCGTCAAGAAATGCAGGCCATATTCATCCTGTCTTGGGAAGAAAGGCTTAAAGGAAAATGATTGTCAAAATAATTATTTTGTGCCAATACACATGCAATGATGCATTTTTAGTGAAGATCACACTTTCACTCTACATGTGCTTTTTTTTTATTGGATATTATAAAAAGTCACTCTTTAAATTACGTTTAAATCTACAATATTCATAATGTTAAGGAGATGGCAGAAACCACTCCTGTCGCTCATTAAAATGAATTACACAAAAATGCAACTTTGTATCTTAGGCGCCATCTACTGGAAACTCAATACAAATGTAGCTACTTGGAACATTCTCCAATTATTTCCCACTTTAGTCGAGTCAGCATTATTTATATAGCGCTTTTACAGTGAAGATTGTGTCAAAGCAGCTTTACAGTATTAAACAGGGAAATAGCTTTGAATTGATTTAAAAATAATAATGTATAGCTATAAAAGCACAAAGAATACGTGTGTGTGAATACGGTGATGTAGAATGATAATAACACAAATAAATACGTTTTGTTTTTATGTTAGTATTATCCACATCTGTCCCACCACTGCTTTTTTTTCTAAAATAGGAATCAATTAAAATATAACGTTACATGTGCAAGTTCGCTGCTGTGTATAAAATAAAACATAGCCTACTAAGGCAGCAAAATGGTCATTTCTAAGTATAACACTTAAATACCAGAACAAAACAAGTATTTGAGAATACCTCTACTTCAAACAAAGTCAGAAGAAAACTCAAACTCAAAGAAATGCAGCTCATTGCCATGCAGCAGTTTCCCATTCATATAATGTCTAGTGTAGTAAACGTGGGAAGAATTACTCTCAGCGTCGTCCAATCGATGTCTTGCACAGATATCCTCTCTCGCTCTCTCTCTCTCTATATATATATCGACCAATCAGGTCCTTGCTTACTGAGTAGTAAAGAATCTTTTCGAAGTAGGATAAGCCACTCCGCATTTGATGCCAGTCGGATGGGATTTGTTCTGAGGTTTTTTAACCATTGCTCTATGTAAAATTAATTGAATAAAGGTCTGGTTGTGTAAAACATATGTTTATTATAGGTGTATAAATGATGTACAGGCTTTGACAAGAAGCTTTAATCGGTGTAGTATGTTCGACGCCCTCTTGCGGCCGTTGCTCCGCCGCGCCAGTGGGAGTGGAAACGCTGGTTTCTTAATACCGCCTCTTCGACCGAGAAAGGCGTTCATTACCAGACGCTCGATCTGTTTGTGCGCTCTATTTGTGTTTCATTATCTGTAATTTCTGTCCCAGTGTTACCATTGCAGCGTAATACATACTAAACAACAATGAGTGACGCCGATAAGGAATTCGTGGAGCGGGTATGTAGTAATGTTTGTACTGTTTTGTCTTTTTGCACGCGCCCTTCCATGTTTCTTCTCGAAATGTCCTCCATGTTGAATGCTAGCCAGCAGGACCGAGCCAGACGGGCTTCATTCATTTAGTAAAATCCGATTACTAATGTACAAATGCGATGATAGACTCGATGTTTTTTTCTTTTTAACGTCTCTAAAAACTTAATAAAATCACATAACTACTACGTGTAATACGGATTTGTCGAACTCCGAGAATCCAGTTAACGTACTTTAGCTAGCTTCGGTGCTAGCAGACAGACGTGCTTCTGATCAGAAAGACCTTTATCTGCCTTTCAGTTTTTGCTTTTTTAATAGTAAGCAAAATGTTTTAACATTTACTGTCTTAACTAAGTGGTGTTTTCTATTCGCATGTTTTATTAAATCTATATAACCTGTATGAGTAATACTTGCTGCTAATACACGAGGTCATCCTGAGCCTTAAAGCTAATGCACAAAATGCTAATTCGTTTCAAAATAACGTAACGTTACACTTTTAATATTATAACGACATTAGTCTTTTGTTAGTATAGTAACATAACAGTAGACGAGATATGTAACGTATAAGGCATATCAGAATTATCCTTTCAAATCCTAAAGGTTGACTTAAATTACTTTTAATGTGTAATATTACAAGATATGCAATTAAGTGTTAGTTTGTAATTGGAGTAATTGCTTTTGCATGCATGCATCCATCCATGCATAAGGCTCAGGATGCACCTGGAAGTATCTAATTGTTCTTCATGATGGGTATTAAAGCTCACTTTTCATTTCTGTTGGTTCATCTATAATGTTTTCCCCACACTAATAAAACGATAGGATTATCAGAGGTGTAAAGAGTACCTAAAAAATTAAATCTACAATATTCATAATGTTAAGGAGATGGCAGAAACCACTCCTGTCGCTCATTAAAATGAATTACACAAAAATGCAACTTTGTATCTTAGGCGCCATCTACTGGAAACTCAATACAAATGTAGCTACTTGGAACATTCTCCAATTATTTCCCACTTTAGTCGAGTCAGCATTATTTATATAGCGCTTTTACAGTGAAGATTGTGTCAAAGCAGCTTTACAGTATTAAACAGGGAAATAGCTTTGAATTGATTTAAAAATAATAATGTATAGCTATAAAAGCACAAAGAATACGTGTGTGTGAATACGGTGATGTAGAATGATAATAACACAAATAAATACGTTTTGTTTTTATGTTAGTATTATCCACATCTGTCCCACCACTGCTTTTTTTTCTAAAATAGGAATCAATTAAAATATAACGTTACATGTGCAAGTTCGCTGCTGTGTATAAAATAAAACATAGCCTACTAAGGCAGCAAAATGGTCATTTCTAAGTATAACACTTAAATACCAGAACAAAACAAGTATTTGAGAATACCTCTACTTCAAACAAAGTCAGAAGAAAACTCAAACTCAAAGAAATGCAGCTCATTGCCATGCAGCAGTTTCCCATTCATATAATGTCTAGTGTAGTAAACGTGGGAAGAATTACTCTCAGCGTCGTCCAATCGATGTCTTGCACAGATATCCTCTCTCGCTCTCTCTCGCTCTCTCTCTCTATATATATATATCGACCAATCAGGTCCTTGCTTACTGAGTAGTAAAGAATCTTTTCGAAGTAGGATAAGCCACTCCGCATTTGATGCCAGTCGGATGGGATTTGTTCTGAGGTTTTTTAACCATTGCTCTATGTAAAATTAATTGAATAAAGGTCTGGTTGTGTAAAACATATGTTTATTATAGGTGTATAAATGATGTACAGGCTTTGACAAGAAGCTTTAATCGGTGTAGTATGTTCGACGCCCTCTTGCGGCCGTTGCTCCGCCGCGCCAGTGGGAGTGGAAACGCTGGTTTCTTAATACCGCCTCTTCGACCGAGAAAGGCGTTCATTACCAGACGCTCGATCTGTTTGTGCGCTCTATTTGTGTTTCATTATCTGTAATTTCTGTCCCAGTGTTACCATTGCAGCGTAATACATACTAAACAACAATGAGTGACGCCGATAAGGAATTCGTGGAGCGGGTATGTAGTAATGTTTGTACTGTTTTGTCTTTTTGCACGCGCCCTTCCATGTTTCTTCTCGAAATGTCCTCCATGTTGAATGCTAGCCAGCAGGACCGAGCCAGACGGGCTTCATTCATTTAGTAAAATCCGATTACTAATGTACAAATGCGATGATAGACTCGATGTTTTTTTCTTTTTAACGTCTCTAAAAACTTAATAAAATCACATAACTACTACGTGTAATACGGATTTGTCGAACTCCGAGAATCCAGTTAACGTACTTTAGCTAGCTTCGGTGCTAGCAGACAGACGTGCTTCTGATCAGAAAGACCTTTATCTGCCTTTCAGTTTTTGCTTTTTTAATAGTAAGCAAAATGTTTTAACATTTACTGTCTTAACTAAGTGGTGTTTTCTATTCGCATGTTTTATTAAATCTATATAACCTGTATGAGTAATACTTGCTGCTAATACACGAGGTCATCCTGAGCCTTAAAGCTAATGCACAAAATGCTAATTCGTTTCAAAATAACGTAACGTTACACTTTTAATATTATAACGACATTAGTCTTTTGTTAGTATAGTAACATAACAGTAGACGAGATATGTAACGTATAAGGCATATCAGAATTATCCTTTCAAATCCTAAAGGTTGACTTAAATTACTTTTAATGTGTAATATTACAAGATATGCAATTAAGTGTTAGTTTGTAATTGGAGTAATTGCTTTTGCATGCATCCATCCATGCATAAGGCTCAGGATGCACCTGGAAGTATCTAATTGTTCTTCATGATGGGTATTAAAGCTCACTTTTCATTTCTGTTGGTTCATCTATAATGTTTTCCCCACACTAATAAAACGATAGGATTATCAGAGGTGTAAAGAGTACCTAAAAAAACCATACTTGAGTAAAAGTACAGATACCTTACAGTGAAAATGACTCCACTACACGTTACAAGTCACCATTTCCAAAACAACTTGAATAAAAGTCTTGGAGTATCCGATTTTAACAGTACTTAAGTATTTTACTTCTACTAAATATAGGCTCAAAAAAATGCACTAGTCAAAGAGACATGCCAGTCAAAAACTGTAACATTGTGGAGAAGCTGCGGAAATTTTCCATATTTCATGGAAAAACTAGAACAAACAATAAGCCAAAGAACAGAATGACTGGCAAACAGACAACCATTAAATTCGACAACTCACATGGAACTGAGGAAAAACTAGGGCTCTCTCTCTCTCTCTCTCTCTCTCTATATATACGCACACACAGGGTTAGACAAGCTTAACAAGATAAGACACACCTGAGGAGACTAATCAAGGGGAACCAATGAACAAACTGACTACACAAACCACGGGAGACAGGAAGTGAAATAAAAGTCCAGGGCAAGGCACAGAGAGCATGAAACAAAAACAAGAAAGAGTTAATTTGTGAGGAGAGCAATCACATTTATTTTCTAAAACCAAAATAAAACTGAACACCTCAAAGTTACATAACAAAAACAAACAAAAAAACAATATCCTTCAAAAAGGTCTCTTCAGTGTAATAGATAAATAAAATAATGTTAGGTAAAATTAAAAAGCTGATGCCTTCTTGCAGTGGATGTGCTGGTTTGGGCCTCATTGCCGGCTGCAGTCATGTCCTCGTCTCATATATAAAACACCTCTTGATTCACAGATACTTGCTAAGGAACTCGCATTCACATAAAGTAGCCTTGTTGACAAGTTTTCGGTGCCATGCCTGAGCGATCGATTGAAATATTTGTCCTCTGGTTCTCCGAAACGGACGTAAGAAGCATCATCACTGGCACCGCACGTGAAAAATAGTATCCCGACTGAGAATGTCCATGTTGTTTTCACATTACGACTTAAAAGCACAACTCGTGAAATGAGAGTATCCGAGGAGCGCGTGAATGCAGTATTTACACTTGCTCTGATGGCAGCAGGTAGCCTTCCGTTAACTGAGCTAAACATGCTTAAATTAAAATGCCTAAAGCTAAACCTCCCTTGTATTCACATTTCTAACCCTGTTGTCTCAGAAAAGAGAAAAAGTATATCCTTTTTACTCCACAACACCAGTCAAATGCTTCCTTTTGTGATCTGATGAGGCTTCTTGTCACAGAATGAGGCACAAAATATGTTCTATATGCTACTTTTAAAAGAATACAACGATTAGCAATAAATTAGGGTGACCATACGTCCTCTTTTCCCTGGAAATCTCCTCTTTTTACCACCTGCTCCTGCAACATCTGTTTCTCTCCCGTGATTTTCGTGTCCACTCCTTTAAACATACTAATATTGTGTATAATTTTGGCTCATCAGGGAGCCGCTCTCAGGATGCGGTGTATTTAAATATTTTTGAATGAGCGTTTGCGCTGTTTACTTTCACTTTCGATTTCGCGATCACACGCACTCTGTGTAAAGGGAGCACATCTTACAAGATATTTGGCAATGAGCTCAGAATCTGTTGAGCAGCAAATTCTCCAGCATGGTCTTGTCAGTCATCTCTCCTTATTCTCGACCTCTGATCAGTCAAAGCTGACTCCGGTAGTTCTTGTTGGATGCAGGGTTGCCAAGTCCATGTTTTTTTCCACATAATTGGGCTACGTTTAACTTCTATTGCCATGGGTTGATTTTCCCAAGTGGGTTAGAGGTTTGAAATATTGCATAAATTACATTTGACTGAAATGCTTGCAATGAAACATTTTGCATTCTACCTATGTTAAAACTTTCATGGACTTCTACATTAACTATTCCCTCCTGGTGGAATGGTGGAGTCCTTAATATTTTCAAGAAACGGCTGAAAACACAACTTTCATCTTCATTTGACCCTCTAACTCTAGCACTCTCTATTCTAATGCTACTTCTAATTTTATCTGCTTGTTTTTTTTAATTAAAAAAACTTGACCCTCTGACATTTGCACTCTCTATTCTATTTCTAGTCTAATGGCCAATCCATCTTTTTTGGGATTATTTTTTATTTTTATTTTTAATAAGTATCGGTTTAGGCACTGGAACCGTTTTAAAAGTATCGATTTGGCACCGGTATCGAGAAGAAAAAAAAAAACGATACCCAACCCTAGTAAAGCGTACATATACTCATTCAAAAATGTAGAGAGTAAAAGTTGCTAATATCTTTGATACTCAGTACAACTACAAAGTATTGAAAAAAAATACTCAAGTACAGTAACTAATTACATTTACTCCAATACTTTACACCTCTGAGGATTATTGGTTGTGATGTCCAGTATTTACACATTCTTCATCCTTTTTTTTTTTTTTTGTTAAGGTTAAGGTTGGAAGAAGAGAAATCTGGACGAAGTCAAATGTCAAGTTGTTAATGCAAATAATTTGAAGCTGAATTTTCAGTGCATGCTAATTTTCAGAGCAAAAGAAGTTCCCATATAGCATTTATGGGCAGTGAGAGAAATGGGGGAAGAGGAATGAAGTCAGAAATGAAATTGAAACTGAAGAAAGAAGAAAAGATGTGTTATGAAGTTAAGATCAGAAGTTATCTGGGATAAGATCGCAGCGCTAAGTAACTCTTAGTATGTTTGTCCCATGCCTGCATGCATAAATCTTCTGTTGTCCATTTGTATTGCAATAGTTACTATTGTCCTGTAGCATGACAGATTTACAGGTAGTTATTTTCATAAGTAATAATGCATTACATGTCAAAAAACGACAAATTCCTATGTTGTAAGTGCTTCAAAGTAAATTTACACTATTAACACTAGTTCATGTACCTGCAGGGAAAAGGCCACTGCATATTATCCTAGTCTAGAACTAGAATGGTCTCAAACTCATTTATATGCATACAGTAATTAGTTAAACATTCTCAGTTTGACCATGTTTTCTGGCTCTTACATGATTTGGATGTGGTTGGTTTAGGAGTCCCGTTCGACCTCTAGGAGCCCAAGTCCTAGAGGATCTGCTAAGTCAGCCAGTCGCTCGCCGGAACGCTCACCTGCTCGGTCGAAAGAGGGGTCCCACCACTCTCGCTCGAAATCCCGCTCTCGCTCCAGGTCCAAGACTCGGTGAGTATTTCTAGTGTTTTTAAGGTCAAACAATCTGCATGGCAAAGCAAAGGTTGACCTTGTTCTTAATTAATAATAATAATAATAATAAACTCTATTTGTATAGCACCTTCAATACAAAGAATGAAGTTCAAAGTGGTTTACAATAAAAAAGCACTACAATAAGCACCAAGTACTTTACAGGAAAACAAGTCAAAGTATATTATATTATTACAAAATTGTATTACTTGGTTTCTGTGTGTCTTAAAATTAACCGGGAAACAGTTGTTGCTTTTGATTAAGTCCAAAATTACATGTCATTTGAAACTGTTGAAATGGCCTCGTGGCTCAGCTACTAGTGGAATTCACAGTACATGGAGTCTGCAGAGTGGAAGTCACACCTGCTGCTTTCCGGTTAAAAGTAGAAACGATGTTTGGGCCAGATTTAAAAAAAAAAAAAAAAAAAATTCCCCCACCCAGGACTACGATTTTAAGCACTCTGCAGTTGATCATTTGACATGCGTTGGTAGCAACTTGATATATAATGAAATTGAAGCCGGAGGTTCTTGTCTGTCTAAGAAGTTGAAGACGGGACTTATCACTTGGTAACTTGATAGTCTTCCTGTCTGTTGCCTTTTATGGTGCTCTTTTTCATTTTACTCTATCATTTTGCAGGTCCCGTTCCCATCGGAGTTCTCGCCGACACTACAGTCGTTCCTGTTCACGCTCTCATTCTCGCCGGAGACGTTCACGCAGCCGCTCATACAGCAGTGAATACCGTCGCCACCGCAGTCATAGTCATTCTCCTATGTCCAACCGTAGACGTCACGTTGGAGACCGGGTATGACAAGGAGTCGGATCCATACATGATGTTCTATGCAGTGTTTTTGTAGTGCTATATTGTAATCTGTAAAGTTTTCTTCACCTTTAGGCAAACCCAGACCCAAACAGCTGCCTGGGAGTGTTTGGTCTGAGCCTGTACACCACCGAGAGAGACCTGAGGGAGGTATTCTCTAAGTTTGGCCCTCTGAGTGATGTCAGCATTGTGTATGACCAGCAGTCTCGACGCTCCAGGGGTTTTGCCTTTGTCTACTTTGAGAACAGAGAAGATTCAAAAGAGGTGAATTTTTCCAGCTGAATAGTAACATGCAACTTAGCTGCAAAATCTGATTGGTTAATAAACTGCAGCTGTCATTTGTATGGATTTCCATAAAGCAATAAGTTGTTTTTGTTCATACAAGAAATGAGAATGTTCTGTCTTTGCTGAAATCACTAATTGACAATTTTACATAGTTTTTCCAATTGCTTGATTCAGAAGGTTAAAGGAATATTTTACCCAAAAATACGAGTCCTCTATCCATAATATTGCTTTCTCCAGTAAAAAAAAAAAAACCGGCACGACTGCCCCACTAGTATCATTTTACACGCCAGCCAAAGCTTGCGATGAATTTTAATATCCTGTGCACTTTGACTTAAAATTGGCAAAAAAATCCCAAAAAAATGTTGCAGAATCCTGAACATATTTGCAGTTTATTATTTATTCAGCTTATATATAGCTCTGTGTTTTGGGTGAATATTTTGGTGGGGCTCTGCCCTTACAGACAAGCCGTGCCTGCTAATAACTGAATATCTCTCTTATAGTTAATGGTCTTGATCAGTGTTGTGTATTTCAATGATCAATGTTGAATTCAAATAATTTTTCTTGCGTGCAGTGGCGGAGGCCCGAGTGTTAGCCGTCGCCGTGATTACTATGAACGAGGCTATGAGCGTGGATATGATCGCTATGATGACCGTGACTACTACAACAGCAGGTCATACAGGTGATTTCCCCCTACTGTTCAACAGTCAGTCTGTATGTGTTTGTAGCGACATCTCACCATCCTACATGGCTCAACAATAAGGATTAGGTTTGTGCTTAACCAGATGATTTTGTTACTCATTTCACTACAAAATATTTGATGTTATATGTAGTATATTGTTAAACACACTACCATGTTAAAAAGTTTCAAGTTAAGTTAAAAAATAAAAATAATAAGCAACACACCTGTTTTCATCTTTGATGGTAATAAAAAAAGTTTTTTGAGCACCAAATCACCTCATATAATGATTTCTAAAGGATCATGTGACACTGAAGACTGGCATAATGGTGCTGAAAAGCCTAGTTCAGCCTGGTCATTACAGGATAAAATTGTTTAAAGTGTATTAAAATTATTTTAAATTGTAAGGTTATTTGACTATTAATGTTTTTAACTGTATTTTTGATCAAGTAAATGCATCCTTGGTGAGCACAAGAGTCTTCTTTCAATATTCATTTTCTTTGCAAAAATGTTGACTTTTTTTAAGAGCAGGTCATATGGTATTTTAAAGTGTCCTAATATTGTGTTAGAGTCCCCTACAACAGGTTTAAAGGCATCTACGGTCAGAAAACATTTAATATTAGAGTCATTTGCCAATGATTTCGAAACTATTTGTTCCAAGCAAGTTCGGAGCAAACCCCTCCCTTCCATAAGCCTACTCTGCTCTGATCGGTCAGCTGGCCAAGCCTGTTGTGATTGGCACAGAGAGGAGTCCTTGAGCAAGTTAGTGAGCGCTGCCATTGACAAAGCACCTTTACATAAAACAATAATATAGTGCTCCAATCCGTTCTTAAAATAATGGCATAAAATACAAAAACACTTATGCAAGCGAATCGTGCCCAGTTTAAAGTTTAGCTGCTAAACTGAACACTTAAAACAATAATGGTGGGTACGTTAGCCGAGTGCTAACGTGACTAACTGATGAAACAATACAGTTTGTAAACCAAAATGTCTACTGTAATGTTTGAAGAACGACAGACAAAAGATGCTCTGTCTTTAACTTTTAATCAGAACGCAGAACGGCTGTATCACAGGAGCACCAGCCTAACTAACTCGCTCGTCTCCCGCATTAACCCTATAACTGCCAGTGCAGCAAAATAAACAGCAATTTCACAATGATTATAAAGTATGTGTGCTACACTACATTATTTATTATTAAACAAAACAATTATTAGAACAACGACAGTCTACATTAATCGACACATTCCTAGGAAATAGTGGGTTCACAGCGAATTATCGGAACTAATTCATTAAGACAGTAATATGCTTTAATTCAAGTTTATTTGTATAGCACTTTTCACGATACAAATCGGTGCAAAGCGGCTTTACAGAAAATTAAGTTTCTACAATATTTAGTGGTAGCTTATCAGTGGTGACTGTCAGTTAATGTACATAGGGCAGAAATGTACGGAAAAATCAATTAAAGACGTAATAAAACAGACGATGAACACTATTAACAGCAATAATTATATGATGCAATCAAACTTGTAGCAAAATTTGGTAGTTTGTTGTTTCAGGGTTGGCATCATCTGAGGTCCTCTGAGGGGTGGCATCATCTCTTCTCAGGTGTTCTGGATCCAGACTGAAGCTTGTGTAAATCCGAGTTACCACGGGATGTTAATCCCAGCAGAAACAGAGAAACAAATAGAGACATAATTGATTAGTTTAACCCGAGCTAAAGAATAATAATGTGCATTTGATCAGATATAACTGCAGTACAAGATTATGAGATGCATTATTTGAATGCTTGGCCAAAGAGATGTGTCTTCAATCTAGATTTAAACAGAGAGAGTGTGTCTGAACCCCGAACGGTATCAGGAAGGCTATTCCAGAGTTTGGGAGCCAAATGCGAAAAAGCTCTACCGCTCTACCTCAACTTTGCTAACCTAGGTACTACCAAAAGTCCAGAGTTTTGCTTTATCTGGAAAACTAAAGCTGCACTAGTGCACTAGGACATAATATCACGTTTTTGTGCTAATTTGAGCACTCAATTGAAAATGTACACAACGTATCGTACTTACAAGTTGTGGCTCGGAGAGCTTGTTAGTCCAAATTAAGAAGGTAAGAAGCCAAGAAGATAAAAGCCAAGATTAGAGAAGCAGTCCTCGGTAAAATGACGAGCACACAACAAAAGGTTGGAATTGTATTTCTGTGGTATCCTTGAACACAGCGTCTTCTCAACATGATGTAAACACACTAACTAGCGGAAGTGCTTACAAGAATACCACAAATCATATTTTTTGAACATGCTAATCTCTGTTAGAAAGCTAAATAACAATACAATGATTACATTTACATGAGGAGAAATTATATTAAGTAGATTTTAGAAAAACTAAAATTGTATGAGATCAATGAAGGTTAAGTGTAGAGTTGATGAGCACCACTGGTTAAATAAGGCAAGTGACCGTTGATTCAACTGGTCTGAAACACTCACACACTTGCCCCAGGACATCCTCTTATTCTTACTGTTGAGACGTGGTCCCACAGACTGCATACTACATCAGTTCACATAGCAAGATCTTTTTTCACATGAAGCATGTGCTATATGCCTTTTACCTTTTAAAATGGCTTGCTATGCTACAGTTTTGAATGTCACTGTTACGATCTGTAGATGCGGTGGTTTCCATTAAATCTCAGCTTTCTGTTCACAGGAGAAGATCCCCCTCTCCCTACTATGGCCGAGGACCGTACAGGTCAAGATCACGCTCTCGCTCCTACTCCCCTCGTAAGTACTGCACAAACCGACACATTCCTAGGAAATAGTGGGTTCACAGCGAATTATCGGAACTAATTCATTAAGACAGTAATATGCTTTAATTCAAGTTTATTTGTATAGCACTTTTCACGATACAAATCGGTGCAAAGCGGCTTTACAGAAAATTAAGTTTCTACAATATTTAGTGGTAGCTTATCAGTGGTGACTGTCAGTTAATGTACATAGGGCAGAAATGTACGGAAAAATCAATTAAAGACGTAATAAAACAGACGATGAACACTATTAACAGCAATAATTATATGATGCAATCAAACTTGTAGCAAAATTTGGTAGTTTGTTGTTTCAGGGTTGGCATCATCTGAGGTCCTCTGAGGGGTGGCATCATCTCTTCTCAGGTGTTCTGGATCCAGACTGAAGCTTGTGTGAATCCTAGTTACCACGGGATGTCAATCCCAGCAGAAACAGAGAAACAAATAGAGACATAATTGATTAGTTTAACCCGAGCTAAAGAATAATAATGTGCATTTGATCAGATATAACTGCAGTACAAGATTATGAGATGCATTATTTGAATGCTTGGCCAAAGAGATGTGTCTTCAATCTAGATTTAAACAGAGAGAGTGTGTCTGAACCCCGAACGGTATCAGGAAGGCTATTCCAGAGTTTGGGAGCCAAATGCGAAAAAGCTCTACCTCCTTTAGTGAACTTTGCTAACCTAGGTACTACCAAAAGTCCAGAGTTTTGCTTTATCTGGAAAACTAAAGCTGCACTAGGCATACATCACATAATATCACGTTTTTGTGCTAATTTGAGCACTCAATTGAAAATGTACACAACGTATCGTACTTACAAGTTGTGGCTCGGAGAGCTTGTTAGTCCAAATTAAGAAGGTAAGAAGCCAAGAAGATAAAAGCCAAGATTAGAGAAGCAGTCCTCGGTAAAATGACGAGCACACAACAAAAGGTTGGAATTGTATTTCTGTGGTATCCTTGAACACAGCGTCTTCTCAACATGATGTAAACACACTAACTAGCGGAAGTGCTTACAAGAATACCACAAATCATATTTTTTGAACATGCTAATCTCTGTTAGAAAGCTAAATAACAATACAATGATTACATTTACATGAGGAGAAATTATATTAAGTAGATTTTAGAAAAACTAAAATTGTATGAGATCAATGAAGGTTAAGTGTAGAGTTGATGAGCACCACTGGTTAAATAAGGCAAGTGACCGTTGATTCAACTGGTCTGAAACACTCACACACTTGCCCCAGGACATCCTCTTATTCTTACTGTTGAGACGTGGTCCCACAGACTGCATACTACATCAGTTCACATAGCAAGATCTTTTTTCACATGAAGCATGTGCTATATGCCTTTTACCTTTTAAAATGGCTTGCTATGCTACAGTTTTGAATGTCACTGTTACGATCTGTAGATGCGGTGGTTTCCATTAAATCTCAGCTTTCTGTTCACAGGAGAAGATCCCCCTCTCCCTACTATGGCCGAGGACCGTACAGGTCAAGATCACGCTCTCGCTCCTACTCCCCTCGTAAGTACTGCACAAACACTACCACAGTAAACTTTACTTCTATTGTCTCCCTGGCTTTGTTTCAAGAGTGCTTAATCTCAACACTGTACATGCTCTGGTAATTTGTGACAAATGTATGTAAAATAGAGTATTAAGTAAACCTTTATTTGTTTTTACAGGTCATTACTGAAGTGAAGTTTGACTCCTCTCGCCATCCCTGAAGATGATGTTGATGACATTCTTGTTGACGTAGATGTTTATTTCTGGTGGCATGAGTTTGGATGTACTTTAAACTCGATCCCTTTGATTTTTTTTTGCAAAAGGTTTCACATGTCTTTGACTGATCTGGATATTTCAGTAGTTTGAATATTTGTGCACCGTTTTTTTTTTTTTGTCGATCTGATGCTGAACTTGCATTTATTTTATTTGATAAAGTGTCCTGCTCACACCCTATTATGTTTTTATGCGTTTTAAGCTTAGTTTAAGCCTAGTTTAAGCTTGCAATAAACTGCTTTATACCTCCCACCTGATGTGAGCTTCTGCTTGAATGACTCAAAACATTGAAATCTGTGTTTCAAACCTAAAGGATAAAAATCCTTGTTGTAGTTGTGTGTAGAAATCCTTGTTGAGGTGACTCCACTGCAGATTTATGGACCGCATATTTATGTAATGCATACAAATGTTCTCTTAAGACATTTGCCTTGAACTACAGTAAAATTAATAAATTTATTGAATAGAAACGTTAGAACACCATTGCCTGAGCTCTGTTCCAATTTAAGTCTCCTTACCTCAGAGAATATATTGTTAATAATAGGATCATCTAAAATACTTCTCCAGTGTGTGTAAAAAATGTAGTTTAAAGTACTCAGGGATTTAGCATTAATTTGGACACGGTGTGGGTGTCTGCTTTAGCTGATCAATCTGGGATTCCTTACTTTTACTGTACTTGGCTCTTGGAGGGATTTTAATTGGCTTTCTGGAGTTCTGAAATCAGCATCATTAATATATTTAAGGTGTTTTTAAGCAGCACAAACTGACATTAACTGGTCCCAGTTTAGTCATAGATTGTGTTATGAGGCTATTGTAACACTTTTGCTACTCGGCACTGCTGCATTTGGAGACCTATAATGTAGGGTCTGATTTGGAGCTCTGATAAATAATGTTTTTGAGACACAGGAGAAAACCCCATTATACTGCAATACAGAGCAATCCTGTACTGATGTATAGTCTTCTAAATACAGAAATCAGCTGAAGGGGGCAAACAAAATTTCAGGTAAAAGACCTAATGTTAGAAACCCCCCACAGATGGACTTTCAGCATACTATTGCAATGAATGAAATCATCAGGATATTCAATAATTTATTAATTTTGATATATATATATATACATACACACACACACATGTTGTGAGATTTGAGATTTTGCTCAAAAATTAGAGTCATCTTTGGAAGGCTCTTACCACAGTCTACATAAGTGGAATCAATGCATTACATTCATATATAACGGCCATGCGCTTCCTAAATCATAATTCCATAAGGTTTCTTCACATTCCTGTTTCTTTTCCATTGACATGGGCGTTCCCAGAGAAAGTCCCATTTTCCAGCTGCTATTCTCTTTGGAGTCTGTGCTTACAGTTTTACAGTCCCAATTATTAATCGTAGATTAAATATCGAATCAAACAGGAAGACTGTAAACCAATATAAAACAAACAACGAGTTATTCTCACAAGGGACAGAGGAAAACGCCCATCAATCCACAACACCCTAAAGACGCCAATCAAGCTGTCAATCACAAATGTAAATCTGCTTCTGAAAATGATTTAAATACGCATACATCCGTTTATTACCACAAGCTTAAGGGCTGCATGACCTGTCATTACAATATATATCGACTTGAACAGACATTCTCTCTGTAAGTGGATTTAAATGAACTAACCCTCCTGTGTTGCTTACTGAGTCTTATCATTATGTCTTATACAGTGATTTATGGTGGCAAACTAAACACCAGACACCAATTTAAGTCCATAAACACATCAAAAGTGATTTTGTGATATTTAAGAGCGGTTTTATTTAGAGGCGGCGCTTGTTGGCAACAGAGTAACGTCGCAACGACACTTTTTTTTCAATCCCAGTAAAAGAGTTTGAGCAGGAACAGAGTTGTGTATATGTAGCAGGGGGGTCCGGCTGCATCTGGGGGGTGACTGCTGATTTTCAGCACGTTTATTTTATTTTTTTCTATTTTATTTTCTCCTTGTTTTCCCTACTTCGAGCAATCCATTGCACGCGCCGATATATTTGGACGTACATATTTTAGTATAGACCATGAACAAACTCTATGTGGGGAATCTGAGTCCTTCGGTGACCGTGGAGGACCTGAAGCAGCTCTTCGGTGAGAGGAAGCTTCCCGTGACCGACCAGGTCCTGCTCAAATCCGGCTATGCCTTCGTGGACTTCCCCGACCAGAACTGGGCGATTAAAGCCATCGAGACTCTATCTGGTAAGTGCTTTTTTCACGTCGAGCAAAGTCACGGTTACATATATACCTTGGACTGACACCGTACCATACCATTGCTGTTTTTGATAAATAATATTACGTGTAAATGATTTTAAATATAGCGTCCAAAACAATGTTACAATAATATAAATGATCACATTAGTGTATGACAAAATAGATAGTCTAACTAGACATATTACATTTTAAATGAGTATTGTTTTGGCCAAATTGGCATATTGATCTGTAAGTTATCAACTACTGTTTGATTGTGTGTCAGTGATCCATTGTGATTTCAGTGGCCAGTTGTTTTATATTTTCTCAAATCAAGCTGTAAAACACAAATCAGAATTTCATGAGCAATGCTTTTAAACTTTTTACCTTGTACCTGAACATTTAGTCAGCTGTCTGAAAAGTAATTATACATTTTACATAGAATTTTAACAACTCGATCTAATAATGTAGCACAGGTTTTCATATTTAAAAACAAATGTATAACTTCAATAATTAGAATGTGAACAAAGAATAATTTGCGAGAGAATTATTTAAAAATATGTTTTTGTAAACTGGTATTGAATATCGGTTTAGGACATAAATGTCCCAGTATTTTTATGCAGTTTGTGAAAGTTCTATTGCTGTGGTTTTATGGGTTTGCATAATGTCTTGAATAGCAGCTGCACTTTCCCTTGCTGTATGTTACTTTTAGATTCTTAAATTTGGGCTTACATTAAGCAGTGCTTTACTGAACAGCCTGTGCTCCTCTCAGGATTCTCCCTGTTTTCATGTGATGTTTTATTATGGAGTCCTGTGTATTTGCAATAAGGGAGTGGAAGCATGAAAAAATATAGTGCAGAGCTGCATGTGTGTAACAGATGACATTTATTGCTGTGAATAGTTTCAAATGTGCTTCCCATTCTTCAAAAATATAAATATTTTTTGTATATAATTATAATCCGTTTAAAATGATACGTTTACAGTGCATTGATGATGTTTTAAGCATGTAATGACTATTTAAAAATTATTCTGAAATGTTGTCCAAATAATGTATATTTAAATGTGCTCACAGTTTAGATATGCTTTAATAACTTGATTTTATTGCTGTGCTCGACAGTAATTAACTACAAATCTATAATTCATGTTCTTGTCACTGAAGTGACTATTTTTGTGAATTTGTTAATTTGGTTTCTTAACTACCAGGAGAGGTTTAGAAATATTTTCTATTTTCTTTTGTCATATCTTGTTGCTGTGCTTATGTGTGGTGGCAAGCCTGATATTTTAATTATCTAGTTTGTTAGGAACAATTCAGTTTGTTATTGATCTGATCAAATAATTGTTATTTAGCCAAATCCAAACAGTAAAATAAGATTTTGATGCTTGCAGAACAAACATTCATATTTAAATTGTAGTGCATTGAACAGATATGAATTGATGACAGAAAATGTGGTTAATTTCAGAATAATAATGCATATTGTTTTAGGAATTATGATTTATTAATTTTGTTTTTAAATGAAGTGAAATTGTTACTGTGTAATAGTGATGATCTGGGAGGTACGGTTTACTTGATTATAGTCGATCAATTATTTGTTGTGTAGGAATATTCATACTCTGTTGATCTTGATTTATGTTTGACAGGCGGATTAAACTAGTTACTCCTTTTCCCAATAACTCTGCTTATCTGTTTTCAGTTTAAAAATGTATCTAAGGGTGTCTGTAAAAGGATAGATTGTAGATTTGATGGCTAAAAATGATCCACCCAGTTCAAGTGAGTTTTCTTTATTGGCTCATGAGTTGAATAGATTGAGATGAAGACTAAGAACAGATCTGTAGCTGGACAAGTGGGTTATGAAGTTGAACTCTCAATAGAGGACTAGTCACAAAGCCCAGGGACATTAGGATCTCAGAGATGAGGTTGGTTCAGTATTACCCTTTCCCCCATCACAGCTTTATTCATTGTCACTTATGGCAAACAAATGACCTATTACACTCTGTAATACATTCTATAGTGTTTGTGTAAAATCGTAAAAGTTTATTACAATGACTCAAGTTGTTTAAGTTTGATTGCATGCTTGAGTGTTTATTTTTTCTGAAAATAATATGCATAGGATGTGATGCTAAAAATTCATATTCTTTCAGATTTATGGCTTTAAGTGCTTTTATGTTTAAGGCATCAGTCTTTACATTATATTTGTTGTCATAAACAGATAAGTAATGTTTAAATTTGGAGCAAATGAAATTCATTGCATTGTCCCCTTCTCCTTTCACATGATCAAAATGTTTCTGTAAAGCTGTGCTCAAATAGAATATCAAGTGATTTGTTCTCTTTGAACTCACTATTTGTCCAATTTGAGTCTCAATTTGCAGAGGTTTACAACGGGCACTTTAAAATCCCCATAGTACACCATCTTACCTTGCCAAAGTGATTAGAGATTATCCGTCTTGTCACTCTAGATCTTTTAAACCTAAAAAAGAGATTGCAGAAACTTTATGCCCAGGTCCTTCTCTATTGTGGATATAAATACACTGTCAATCAAATGCAGAGGTACAAATAAATCTAATCTACCACGTTGCTGCTCTTTTCATGGACATCAGCAAATCTATTTTACCAGCGCTGAGTGTTTTTAAAAAAAAATTTTTTATCGAAATGTTAGCGTTACTGTACTTGTTTTTTTTTTCTGTGTCCTCTGTAACCTCGCCTCCCTTGAGATTAAAATACTGTAACGCATAATTCCTCATTTGTTAATCCCTTTATCGCTGTAAAGGGGCAGAGAAAAGAAAAGGATTATATCATAAAGAATGTGAGAATGATTGTCATAGAAGCTTTTATGCTGTAATCTCTTCTGAAGCGGCTTTGACTGCTCTCTTCACGGGCTCTTATCAAGTGTTTGTTTGTTTATAGACTAGCGGGCTAATGATAATGTTTCTCATTCGTTGATTATTATAAAAGAGATGGTCTGTTTTGATTTTGTGTCATTGTTGAAGCTGTAAACGGGTGTAATGTTGTATTTTTGTCAGTGGAGTGGATTCTGCCCTTCGAGTGGCAAAGGGCTGACAGTTAGCAGTTTGTAGCTCATTTTCTAGTTGGTTTATTTGTTCTCAATGTATGTATACCTTAAAAAACATTGTCTCTAACTGTTCATATGGTGACAGGAAGCATATGAAAGGTGGTGGAATCTCAGACTGTACAGGCTCTGTTCCTGTACGTACAGTAAATCTTCAGATTTAATCTGTGTCTGTCTGTCTAGGTCGCTGCATTGAGGAAAAAAGACTTCAGTCTGGTGGGGTTAGTGTGAAAAGGCTTAACGTGAATGGATGCTGTTTCAAAACAAATCTGCAGTCATTTCCTGCTTGTTTGAATTGAGGTTTAAAGTCGGCATGAAGTAAAAATTCAGTTCTATTTATTTTCTAAATACACTTTTTTTTGTGAGTGATTCATCCACGCAAAAAAATAAAAAGATTAATCTGTTTAAAAAAAATTGACATTGTAATATCAGTGTAATCACAGCATCATATTCTGGTGGATCATGGATCATCTGATGAAATGACAGACTTCTCTCTGGTGACATATTTAGATCTTCTGCATTTAGTCTGCTTAAAACTCGCCCATTTATTACAACCGAACTGAAGCAAGCTTGCATATGTACCTTCCTTCATCCAATCAGGAAGTGATACCGTGTTTTCTAAAGTAGCCACGTCCTACTTTTTGTTATTTATTTATTTATTTTTTTACCAATAATCCATTTCACTTAGATGTGCATCTCAATACAAAAATAAAAGATCAGTCACTACTTCCTTTTCACACTAATTTCCGTTATGCTCCTTTACCCAGTATTCACCCGCAAAAAAAAAAACAGTTTTGAACAAAAATTGTGGCTGGACCCCCCCCCCCCCCCCCTTTTTTTTTT